AGACGGCAAGGGCAAGACCTAGTGAGGACCAAGGATGCAAAGCACAAACGACTGATGCAAGAGAGGCGGTCTGGCGAACTGCGCCATGGCTTGCTGGCGATACGCATCGTACAAAGGTATAAAACACAAGAAAGTCGTAGAGATACATACAACAAGACGACGACTCAGGGGCGCTACTGTGATGAAAGCGTCACCCGAAGATGGCGATGATGGAGACGAAGCAGAACGAAGTGTGGGTGAGGACGAAAATCCACGGGAGAAGGTGACGCCACGGGATGGAATCCCGAAGCACCAAGCGTTTGCGATACTTCTGCGGCACGATGGAGCTAAAAAAAAAAAAAAAAGACAAGTTGGCAAACAGGCGAACCAGGAAAACGCGGGGACATCGGTGTCCAAGTGTCCCGAGGCAAACAACACCGACGAAACTTGGGGAACTCTTTTTTCAAGTGTTCAGAGGCAAACAACACCGAGGAAACTTCGGAAGGAGCCTGTCGAGGGAAAACAAAGACCAACAACAACAAACAAATGAAGCAAAGGCGAGAGAGAACGGACATCCAGGTCGCGGCAGTTCCTGATTCAGACGAATGCAGGCAACAAAGAAGAAAGATCACTCGACACTGTGTGTCTTGAGGCGGCGTTGCCCCAGCGTTCGAAACAAAAAATAAGCCAAGAAAAGAAAAGAGACGGGACAGAAAATAAAACAAAACAAAACAATACGGAAGGTGACAGAAAAAAAAAATCAAAACGTCGGCGAGAAGGATGGCACCAAAGACCAAAATAGGCCGACTGGTATATGAAAACGACGACGCCAAGAACAAATGGTGGGAACAGCCGACGGTAAGGAGTCAGCAAGGAGCGGAGTGCTACCACGGTTGTCGCCCAGAGGGCGCGAACGATGTTTCTCTAAACACCATGACCCACAGACGGCGTCCAAGGCGGTGGAGTAGAGGTGCGCCGGCAGAGGGAGAAAGCTTGGGGCCCGGGTCACCCAAGAATCGAACAATGCACGAGCCACCCTGATGAGCACCAATACGTCCGGTCCACCACAATCCATCACGGGCCTTGTACCACAGCCGCGCGCCAACAGGGAGGGGCGAAGCGCTGAAACGACGAAGCCAAGTCGCGTGAAGTACAAGACCAGCCCCAGGAGGCAAATAGCGTTCTCCACGATTCCGGGCTAGCTCCCGCTGTGCCGCGCGAGTCCGAGCCACTCGATATGTACGGTTGCCCTGCTTGCTCTGGCAGACCTCCCGGGACCAGTACAAGAGGATGTGTCGACGGAACTGATCGAGGTCGGATTTTCCGGTTCCCATGAAGGAGTAGTCAGGCCTAACCAATGCGTTTGGTGCAGGACAGCGAGAACGCCCCTACGGCCCCGCACCAGTTGATGTCCCGAGATGAGGTCGACCTCGCGGCGCCCGACAGGCACCAACACATCATCCGCGTTGACGTGGAAAGGTGGACATTTATCTCCGAAAGCATGCAGAACATGACGCGAAAGCTCGGCGGGTAGAGATTGCGGCAAGTCGTCCGTCTCGTACGGATTGCGACAGGGCTTGCAACGAAGGACAGACACGCGACAACGAGCTGTCGGGCCGGAAAGATCGGAAGGCAGGAGTTTACGCGCCAACGGGCGGCCGTCCGGAGTGGCGTCGGCAGAGAGGACCCACCGCAAGAACTTTGTTGGGCCCCGTCTAGGAAAGTGCAAATTTGGCCTTGAGCACCTGTTGGTCCGTGTCCTTCTGCACGCCCTGTCAAATTGTAGCAGCCGTATTGTACACCCAAGCCCACCCGCCAACGGTAAACTGAGGGAGCTTGTGAATGGCGTCCAGCAGGGATGAATTGCGGCGTTCGACTCGCGAAATCTTCAGGGCGTTGTACTCACGGACAAGTTCGTAGACCCGGCGCTGGCGATCGACAGCCAGGTTGCAATACTCGAGTTGATCGCGGGCCAAGCGTTGATGACCACCTACCGTGGGATGATCGAAGACCGAAAGCGGGAGTCGCGAGATGCGTCCGATGTGGATCTCGTTTGGCGCTAATCCATTAGACTGGTTCACGGAATTGTTGTAGGCAAACTCAACGTGCGGGAGATGTATGTCCCAATCGTTTTGCTGTTCGTTGACGACCACCGCAAGCATCTGGGCCATCGTGTGGTTGACGCGTTCCGTGCCGCCGTTGGTCTGTGGTGTGGGGGGTTGATTCGGGATATTTCTGCAACTCACCCTCCTTTTGGATGTTTTGTGAAGAGTCATATCTTCGATTTATGATCACATATATCGTCAGCTAAGTCTTACTGTAGCTTCAGGATTTGAGCATTGATTTGAGTATAGAATCTGCATATATGATATTCAGGGTGGGCTAGTGTTAAAGAGTGTGGCTGCTAGCATGAATAGGGTACACCTTATTGTTGATAGGATGCGGATCGGTCAGGAGGTTTACCCTTCTGACCCCTACCCCCTTGGAATTGTCTACTCTGTGTACCCCCTGAGATGAAGTTGGATCCCCACTCCATCTCAGACCCTTGCTGATCGCCTCTCAGCAAAAACAAGCAACTTTCCCATCTCAACGTGGTCGTGGACAAGCGTGTCAACGACAGAACCTTCATCTATCTCAAGGAGCAAGCTGCCGTCCACGGCTTCACCACCTTCAAACTTGGCGTCAGCGGCATTACACGGTAAGCGGGAGCTGGACGCGGCTTCCACACTGCTGTGTGTTGTTGCCACGCTTTCTTCACAACCACTGGGTTGCTTGCTATTTGGTCTCACCACCCACGAGAATCTAAACTTCGCCTCTTCTCTGCTTCTTCTCCTGTAGAGATGCTGGCTGGCGATGCTTTTGCGAAGTGCCCGCGGGACTGAGACCTTACGAAGGATACGCGCCTCGGCGGTCATCGCGATGTTTTGGGCGATTCTTCCTACGTCCGCCGTCCCTCACAAGCTATGTTGTTTGCATGAAGGGTCCATGAAGTTATTTCTGTGGCGGATGCGCACTGCATGCAGCGACCTGCGTTGCTGACCTTGTGTAGTGGGACTCGAGATGACAGCATGCTTCCCACGTCTGCCACCACCTCTATTGCATTCATGCCGGCGTACCGGCCGATGTCCGCGGATTCTTCTGTTGTGCTCTCCGATTTGACTTCGCTTGCCTCGACGTGGAGCGCATTGTGTGCACACAAATTGGGTGTCAGCCGTCCCACCAGCCTTCCCTCTATTTTTTGAAATCACATGGCACAATTTTTTGGAGAATCGTTCACTCTCAAAGCATTTGAATTGGAAACCTTTCAACAGCGCAAGCCCACAGCGGTCTTTGCTCGCACTTCGGCACCAGTTGCGGAGGAACGCCGCGCTGCTCTGCGTGTCTTTTGGTCGGAAAACCTCGTGTCTCCATGCAACACGGGCCCTTTTGTGCTAGCTTCTACTGCTGTTTGTGCGTGGCATGGTGTGCTTTTGGACGCTTTTTCTGCTTGGTTGGATCCGCTTCAACCTCGTGTGCACCAAGCCTTTATCACTGGGCGTATGCTATCTTGTGGATATCTCCGCCTTTCGCATGGACCTCGGCTTGCTCTTCCCGAAGTTGCACCCGGCTTTACTGCTTCTGCTGCTCTTGGTGCTGCTGCCTCACCTGCGGTTGGTTATCCTACATCTACTGTTTCTGACCCTGCTGCCCTTTCCAAAACCGATCCTTGCTACCCTCTCTCTGGCCCTGTTCTTGTTAACAAAGAGGACACCATGTCCAGCGGCAACGTGGAACTCCTGGGCGACGAACCCGAGGGAGAGGGCCCCACCGCACAACAGTTTTCGGAGGCTGGTGCGGGAGACGAGCGCTGCCCCACACCCCGCGCTTTCACCGTCGATGATTTGCTGGACACATCGCCACGGCGGATCCGGCGGACCTGGAGGAGGCCTATGATGAAGGACGTGCCTCTCTGGAGGATATTGCCGGGGCGGTCTGTCTGTCGTCCGATTCCCCTCTTTTCGTTCCCTTTCACGCTCCAGCCGGAAGACAAATTAATTCTCTTACCCCACAATGAGTTTATGGCTTACCGAAGGTTGAACGAGATGTGGTGCAACAGTCTTGCGGGGAAGACAGCAGAGGCGGAGGCGCGAGAGCAGGCAAAGCGCGAGAACGCGGAGCGCATGGCGGAGCGTGAGGCTGCTCTGGCTGCTGCTGCGAGGAAGCAGGAGGAGGAGTCGTAATGCTGAGCTAGCGGAGCGCGAGGCGAACGTCCAAGCTGCTATGGCGAAGCAGGGGGCGCTCCGATCACGGCTGGACCACCTCGAGTTCCGCCCCCATGGCCCGCACGCAGCGGCCTTGCCCTCGCCCTATCCCCACCGTCGTGTTGTTGCCCCCCCCAAATTGCAATCGCAGCGTGCCTCTGTGGCGAAGGAGAACGGACGGGAGGTGGCGGCTACTCCGGAATTTTCGGTGACGTTGGGTCGTCCGGCCGGTGAAGACGGGGCATCGACTGCGGCCGAAGCCGCGGGGTACGAGTTCCATGTTGGCGATACAGCGTTCCTGTCCCGCCCACTGGAGATGCCAGCCGAAGACGTAACTTTCCACGATGAGGATAAAGTGGCAGCTCTTTTTGCTTGGGCTGGCGTCAAACAACCCGTCCGTGCTCAATTTCCCCACTCTCACATCGTTGCTTTCGGGGACATATATTCTTCCCCCTACATCTCGAAACCTCCGCCTTCTCCTCGGCAGTCCGTGTTCTGGCTTTTGTTCGCTCTCCGTCGTGCCTCTTTTACGAGCGGTCCTCAAGGAACGTCGGTGGTGACCCATGATAAGGACTCCGGCTACCTCTTGCTCATGCTGCCTCAAACAACGATTTCAAGCACGATCTGCAAGCCCCCCGGCAGGCCTCGTCACGCCCTGCACATGTTTCTGGGGGGGACAAGGACTACAGTCGGTCGACGGCGCCTGCGTCGAAGAGCTGGAAGAACCGTCGGCGTGACCAAGATTCGACGGCCAAGAGCGGACGGACGACCACCGCCGCTCCACCCAGTCTTCGCGAGGGCGCCGCACCGGAGATGGCGGGCGAGGGCAAGGCGTGGGGACCCAGCCTATCAGGTCTTCGCCGGCGAGCCGCCATCGCCGGAGCAGGAGTCGGAGCGCAGAGCGTCGACAGCGCACCAATCCTTCGTCTAGGCGTGGTCGCAGCCGGAGCGGAGACCGTCGTGGGAGAAACACGCCTTCGTCTAGGCGTAGCCGCAGCCGGAGCCAAAACCGGAGCGGGGGCAACAGCAGGGCGACCAGCACTGACAGCGGTCGCGGCGGAAAAGGGGGACGGAATTCAGGCCACGGTAACAGGCAAGTGATGTATGATCGAGGTGATTTCCGTAGCTCTGGGTTGTTGGGGGAAAACAAGGATGCTTCAGAAGACTGTTCCGTCTGTTCTTCACCGCTTGTTCTACGCCCGCCCGCTGATGTAGGCCAACCGGCCATGTCTTCTTTGGCGTTCAACCTTGCCAACATGCAACTTCGTGAACACTCAGCCGCTGTGAGAAGCCATGCCCCTGCCCATGCCGTTATGGATCATCCCACATCCTCCTTGCCTTCGGACGAACGTGTTGAGTCACCACGCCATGCTGCATCACACGCCTCGACTTCGGCTTCCCGTATTGAAATGCTGTTGGAACAAGTACTCACTCTCCTGCGAGCAAATCAAGTTGTGGATGCTGCTGCCGACGCGAATGTGCAACCTCCTGTGCCCTCCCACGCTCCTAGCGTGCCACCACCTGCCCCATCTTTTTCCCCACGGACGCATCTGACACCGTTGGAAAACTACGCTTCGAGCTTTTCGGGAGCTCCTGTAGGGCGCGATGTTCGTGCCGAAACCGCTGCCAGGGCCACGTCAGGATCATCGTCATCAGCCACGATGTCGGTGTTGGTAAACTCGTGACTTCTGGGGAAAAGATGTTTTATTGTTGAGATCTTGGACCAGGAGAACAGGTCAAACGGTGAAGTGAGCAAGGGCGGGGAGCACCACAGCACCGCAGCACCGCAGCCACCACCCGTGTCGCTCGACCAACGCACAAAAGCAGAACACAATAATATCGGAACACAAAGACTCAACAGACAGTGGCTAACGTACTTCACAGCGTACCATAAATCCTCTGACTGATGCACTATCCATAAGAAACACACTCGGGGTAATGCACCATCCACGAAGAACATTTCCACAGAACGTTCCTTGCTGTTCTGATAATATGTGGCTGCTCAACGATCTTCAACGCAGACAGTCCCGTAATGCAACCTGTCCGATCACGTTGTTCTACGTCAATCTGTCGACACACACAGCAGCAACTATCGCGAGCAGTTCGGGTCGGACCTGCGGTGGCACAGTCAGCGTCGACAGCCCCGGCCCTATTGCAACAGCCTTTGATGGTATCACGCCCCCCCTCCAGCGTGCGTCTATTCTGATTGATCCTAGCTCTGCGACCGGCCACGTCGTCGAGCCACCGGGTCAAGCGACATCGCCGTTGACTCAGCACGATGCTGGCTTGCCTTTGTCTTCCACGGAAGCGAGAGCGAGGCAGGAGGCTCTGGACGCTGCGAACGCCGCTGCAGCGGAGGCCGAGACCATCCGCATTCAAGACAAGATGGACAAGCTGGAGCCGGACCTACTTGATAGTGTCACACGCTTGCCCCTCGGTCCTGATCCTGATGAATTTGCTCGTTTCGCGTCTAGCTGCAAGGGCGTGATCACAGAGATTCTCAGCAAAAGCGACGTCAAGCGCAAGCAGACGTTCAATTCCTCCACCTGGGTCACCGGATGGCTTCCGTTGTTGGGCAAACGTGTCCGTGCTGCTGTCGTTGAAGGCCAAACCACCAACCGTGCCACGCTAGAATGTCTTGATACCACCTTCCTACAGGTAGAAAATCATCTGCGCAAGGAACCGGCAGGGCCCTCGACGTACGCCTTCTTCATCCCGAAATTGGCGGCTGCCTGTTACACTCAAGAGCTCGGGGATTGATCGTCTTCGCAGTTTTGGCGTATCCAACGGCGAGACTTACGGAGAATACATTCGTCGCTGTAAGGCTCTGGCCATGACCGTCATGGTTTCCCGCCACGCGTTCAAGCGTTCGGATGCGCAAGAGCAGATAGCTGTTCGAGACTCCATGTTGAAGCAGTTTCCGGTAGTTTCTGGGCAGGTGTGCAAGGATGAGCAGCTCTCCATGGAAGCCCCTCTTGGGCGACATGCTTCGTGTCTGGATGATATGTGGGATGAGTTGGGCATGCTTGCGTTCGCGCACACGCCGGCGATGCATGGAGATGATTTCTTTTCGGTATCTTCCACGAATGCTAGGAGTTCGTCTGCTGTTTCGCGTGCTGTAGCTTCTTCGGCGTTGCGTTCGACGGTGACCCCTTCGTGGAGCCAAGGTTCTTCGGCCGCCGTGATGAGTGTTGACCCTCTACCTAATGATGATCGGGACCCTTTTCTGTTGCACTACAGTGACTGGCCGTTGCAAGAACATTTCCAAGAGGTGTACAACGTCGCTAGTGAGATGGCTCTAACCAAGAATGATCCGCCATTGTTCACCCCTTGGTCTCGGCTGAAGAACGCCGCAACGCTTCGACTGTACAAGGGCAAGTGCCTCAACTGCTTAGGAGAAGACCACCCCTTCAAATCCTGTAATCGTGGTTTCGTGAACGGCACCGGCTTGCTTAACAATGACATCAAGTTCTGTACGGATAAAGATCCCACACTTTGGGGTCGGTGGAATTGGAGCAACCCACACCCAAAGGACGCAACCCACACCGAAATCACTCCTCAGGACGCGCCCGCCGCTCATCTCACACTTTGGACACGAAACAGTCCTCACACACAGAGCTCTCGTCGGACGCTTCCACTTCGGCGACAAGGGGCTGGAGGGGTAAGAAATGACAAACCGATCGATGGCGGAGTTCAGCCGGTACTACCGTCAACAGCAACCACCGTGCACCCTATTAGAGTCTCCCAAGATGTTCGCGTACAGCCTATTTCTTTGGATACTCCCCACGCTCCTCAATCACATCTAGTTTCTCGCCTCCTCATCGTCCGCCTCATCGTCTACTGGTTATGGACATGACGGACCCATGTCGGCAGCAACTTTGTGGTGTGGGCGACGGGTAGGTAAGACGTCGAGCGGTTCATCCCTGCTCACCTCGTCGTCTCGGGTTACAGAAGGAACAAGAGCCTCGTCTTCTGCTAATCGTCAAGACTCTCCTGGTGTTATCAGCCGGGCCTCTTCTCGGATCGCACACGAGCCTCCTTCTCACTCGTCGGGAACCCCGTCGATCCTCCTTCTCTTTCGCAGCTTTCGTTGTCTTCGACCGTCCGCTGCCCCCGTGTAACAGCACCTGATACGAATGCGTCTTCCTCTGCTGCCCACCACGTGCTGACTGCACCACTGCCATCGGGATCGGATGGTAGTGCCCACCATTCTGTGGCAGGTTCGACTCCTTTGTCAAGGGGGAGAAGTCAAGAGCGCCCTGCGTCAATGATCAAACATCCGTCTGCTGCAGGAATGACTTCTTCTGACGAACGGGTCTCTTATAGCCGAATGGCCTCTGCTAACATTGACCCCGCCGGAGCCGCCGCCCTAAGGCCGCCCTCCGGATCACGGAGCGTTGCGACTTCGCCCGCTCCTGCCTCGCTTTCTGGGTTCTCCCCGTCGGAGAAGAGGCCCCGTCCGCTTGGTCCACCCCCGCCTGTGCCTGGTGCCCGCTCTTTGCCCCTTCGCCCTGCGCCGGCTCCGCCGTTTGATGACAAGTGCGAGTACGCTTCGGATGACGTCCTTCTCGTCTGGAAACCTCCGTCTGTGTTCTCGCAATGGACTCCTTCGGCTTTTGACGTACTGGGGGTACGTTATTCATGTGGTGAGCAATTTATGGTGTCTGAAAAAGCAAAGTTGTTTGGAGATTTGACGTCGTATGACAAATTTATGGCTGCAACAGATCCTAAGACACACAAGTTTTTGGATCGTAACGTGCGTCCTTTCGACTATGCTGAATGGGAGCGTCGTCGTGAAGAGATCGTGCTTACGGGGTCGTATGCCAAATTTGCTCAAAACCATGACATGAAACATCATTTACTGGAGACGGGTACCCGCCTCCTTGCGGAAGCCAGCCCCTTCGATCGTGTTTGGGGTATCGGCATGTCTGCATGCTTTCCAGAGGCTAGCGTTTTATCCAAGTGGGCGGCAAGCGGAAAAAACTTGTTGGGAAAAGCTTTGATGGAAGTTCGACGCCTTTTGCGTGATCGTCCCCTGTCTAGCGAAGATTTCCACGCTTCCACTTCTCCCACGCCCCCCATTTCGCAGCCTCCTCTCCATGGACGTCGACGCATCCATGCGGTTGCTACTGCTACAGGTTCGTCGTTCGTCGTCACGGGAGAACCCGGGCGAAGACCCAGCTTGCTCCGTTTGGACGCTCCGGGGGACCATGCTCCTGGTATTCATCTGGTGGCATCGACTTCCATTTGTGCAGACCAGCCTCCTCTTCTCGAACATGGGCCCGATCTGGCCGGCGGCACGCTCCTGTTGGACTCGGACTCATACACCACCCGGGTCCTGCTGC